AGAGCCAGAGGCACTGTATCAACTTGCCACTGTAACAACTAGCCCCGGTCTCCCCTATACCACGTTAACAACTGGGACAGAGACTTCCCCACTTCAACTTTAATGTTTGAGAGAAAGTGTTATTGTAATCGTTTCCAGCATTATGTTTACAGTGAGTTCCTGAAAGCCAAACCATTGCCATACAACAAGGCCGAGTTATCAAAATATTTTACTTATATAAATTATATGATCTGTCAGTGGCGCCAAACTTGCTCGAGGAAAGTGAAGTATCTGCATACATTTAAACACAAGAAAACTGGACTTGAACCCAGGTGGGTGTTTGTCAAGGACTTGTATGTGTGGGTCCTGACACTCACTTATTCTTGTACCTTTCTTATATGATTACACTTTACAGTCTTAAGCAAACTTATGTCGTGATTTCTTGCGTTTAATAAATTGGAAAATTTTAAAAACATAATTGACTGAACACCGAATAAAGCACGAAATCAACGATGTTTATAGTTAATTAATACACCTTATTATTATTATTCAGGTCCTTACTTAAAGTAACGAATCAAAACTAATTAAGAACATAACACAAATTACTTGTATATCTTGAGACAACAAAAAAAAATTGTATAGATAACTAGATGAAACATAAATTACCATAGAACACTAGATCAGGTAGAAATTCTGATAACAAATTAGATTAAACACAAAATATTATAGACCATTATATGAGATATGAATTCAATCAATCAATGAAATATCTGGTGATGTTATAACATCCAGTTCATTTTTTAAAAATATGGAAGATGAGGATCGTTCTTTTTAAAAACTTATACGTCTTGTTCTTCGTGGTGTTTTATTTCTAGTATAGATGATATACTTAATTTTTGAATGAACCAAAATCTAGCAACTTCTGCTATACACACGGAAATTTATATCTGATGTACACCACTAACGTTAGTACAATATACAAATAAATATCTGATATACACTACTAACGATAGTACAATACACAAATTAATATCTGATATACACCGCTAACGATACTACAATACACAAATTAATATCTGATACACACCACTAACGATAGTACAATACTCAAATTCATATCTAATATACACAACTAACAATAGTAAAATACACAAATTAATATCTGATATACACCACTAACGATAGTACAATAGACCAATTAATATCTGATATACACCACTAATGATAGAACAATACACAAATTAATATCTGATACACACCACTTACGATAGCACAATACACAAATTAATATCTGATATACACTACTTACGATAGTACAATACACAAATTAATATCTGATATACACCGCTAACGATACTACAATACACAAATTAATATCTGATATACACCACTAACGATAGTAAAATACACAAATTAATATCTGATGTGCAAAACTAACGATATCACAATACATAATTTAATATCTAAGGTACACCACTAACGATAGTACAATACATAATTTAATATCTGATATACACTACAAACGATAGTACAATACACAAATTAATATCTTATATACACCACTAACGATAGTACAATACACAAATTAATATCTTATATACACCACTAACGATAGTACAATACACAAATTAATATCTGATGTGCACAACTAACGATATCACAATACATAATTTAATATCTAAGGTACACCACTAACGATAGGACAATACACCAACTAATATCTGATATACACCACTAACGATAGTACAATATACAAAATAATATCTGATATTCACCATTATCGATAGCACGATACACAAATTAATATCTGATATTCACCACTAACGATAGTACAAAACACAAATTAATATCTGATGTACACCAACAACGATAGGACAATTCAGAGATTAATATCTGATATTCACCACTAACGATAGTAGAATACACAAATTAATATTTGATATACACCACTAACGATAGCACAATACACAAATTAATATCTTATATACACCACTAACGATAGTACAATACACAAAATAATGCCTGATATACATAGATAAAGAGAGTATATATACAAAAATTGATATATTCAACTAAAAATTTTTCTCGTACAAAACCACAAGTAACTTTGAAGTAAAACAATTTTGAGTAAAAAGTTAATATTCTCTTCAAGAATATAGAATATTGAATACAAGAAATATGTTTTCATGGACACGAACAAATAAAGCTAAAATGAAATCTAAACACCTATAGTAACATGATATTTCCTAGAAGTGTATGTAAATTTGATTCATGAAATCACATTTTTCCTTCATTTCATTGTATGGCTACACAATATTCTGTTGTTCCTACAGGACACATTTTAAATTACAAACATTTTACTTAAGTTATGATTTTAGAAATTACTAAATGAAAAAGAGTCACCTAGTGGTCTTAACGATGTCGTAACAGTAAAAACTTATTTAACCGTGTGCTCTACGTGCCTTATTCTGAACATAGATGTTGGTTTCTAACCTCTGACGTCTTAAATTCATATCTTACTAGACCACCGTGACCGTTAGATCAACCACTATTCAGAGGTTATGAAGAATTCAAGCTAATTTCAATATTGCACCGAAATGAAGGTTTATTTTAAGATAATTTTTTTTTAAATATTTCATTCCATTCGTGTTATTCATAATTCAAGAAAAGATATTTGATTGTTGATCGGGAGTAAAAGTAAGGACCATTTCAAAAGTGAAGTAAAAAGTTTCGTAAAGAGCACAGAACAGTAGCAAATCCTGTGTGTACATGACCTCTCGTGTTACTGGACAAGTTCAAGCTGTTTTAATGTCAAGGTGAATCTGACCAAAGGCCACTTTTGGGAAAATAAACTCTTGAGTGTATTATTGAATTTAGAGAAGATGTTTGATATGAAATATTATTAAATATAATGGAAACTCTAGAAATAAGAGACATTGTATTAAAATATTTTATATAAAAAAACTCTGATTGTAAATATAAACACATAACGTGTGATGTGCATGTTATAAAATATGTTATCTATAGAGCTCTGTACTGGACTAATTTTTTTGTAATATATAAATGATTTATGTAATGTAAATTCAAATAACAAAATTACTGTGTCTGCTGATGATATATATCATTTAGTATTGTTGATCTGGAAGAACTAAGACTTCAAGTTAAAAATGACTTGTGAAAATAGGAAACTATTTTTTGAAAACAAATTTTATATACATATAACTAAAACAAAATATATGTTTTTTGTATTAAAAATAAAATGATTACAAATAAAAACTATGTTTCCAAATAATTTTATAATGAGAAACTCACTGTTAGAAAGTTAAAGTTGCAGGGTGACACTGGTATACGAACAACTGATGTCAAATGTCAGAAAGTTTTTGTTGTTTAACGTCAAATTTTAAAACTGGTATATGAATGTTTCTAAAAATGAATATATCTGGAGCTATGTCTAGTTGAATGTTGGTCTTTGACACTGGCATGTTACTAGTTGTTTAAATGTCGTTAATATCTAGTGTTGTTTAATGTTGGTCTTTGACACTGGTATGTTACTACTTGTTTAAATGTCGTTAATATCTAGTGTTGTTTATTGTTGGTCTTTGACACTGGTATGTTACTACCTGTTTAAATGTCTTTAATATCTACTGTTGTTTAATGTTGGTATTTGACACTGGTATGTTACTACTTGTTTAAATGTCGTTAATATCTAGTATTGTTTAATGTTTGTCTTTGACACTGGTATGTTACTACTTGTTTAAATGTCGTTAATATCTAGTGTTGTTTATTGTTGGTCTTTGACACTGGTATGTTACTACCTGTTTAAATGTCTTTAATATCTACTGTTGTTTAATGTTGGTCTTTGTCCATTTTCTGTTACAACCTGTTCGTCCCCGAGTGGCACAGCGGTATGTCTGCGGATCTAGAACGCTAGAAACGGGTTTTGGTACCCGTTGTGGACAGAGCATAGATAGCCCATTTTTGTAGCTTTGTGCTTAACTTCAAACAAACAAAGAAATATTACCTGTTTAAATGTTGATAATTTCTACAGCTGTTTCATATTTAATGTTGACCTTTGACACTGGTATGTTATGTCTACCAACAATGTAGGATCATTAATGGATCCAATTCATATCAAAATAATTTATTTCTCTGTTTTTATAAAAAAAAAACACGCCTTTGCCTCAATAATATTTAACCCTTTATATTACTTATAATGTACCCAAAAAGAAATTTGCCCTAATGTTACCCTACTTAACAAATATACCGTTCATGATAAGAAATAAAGTCAAAAACAAATTAAAACAGCCTATCTGAGAATTAAACTCAACCATATTTTAACAACCGAATGGATATTAGAAAACTTGTTTCTGTTTAATGATGAAATCAAACAGTTAAATAAATCCATGAATGTGTATCAGTACGAAAGTTCGAGTGGCAAAGAAACGTCTAGACGAACGACAGCCATGAGACAAGAACCAACCAACAAGCACCTGAACTTCAGAACGGTAAATCTAACACAAGTATAAGAACAGATACTGAACTGTAAAGACAAACCACCGAACAAGAGACGCTTCATAATCCCTCTCAGACAGAATGAGAGAGATTTATGAACACGTGAGCCTAACACGATAATCTTGAGAAACCCACTGAATTAACCATCAGCAAGAAATTTTATAATATAGTAAATAACGTAAGTTGCAGTGAACTTATATTTTAATATCAAACAACTGTTATTAGAAAACAGTCTTGAAACATGAGTTTAACGTTCAACAGAAACTTACTTTAGTGATAATCCTTATCGAACCAGCATCCTTCCAGCCTATCCTCAGCTAGTAATATTTAACTTCCTATTACAAGGAACTTGGGAACACCTCTTTCTATCCTTGACCGTCCAATCAGAGACCATAGAAATGAAGACAGCTAGCTGTTTTACAATTTAACTTCTGCAGGAAACATCGGCTATTGGTGAAACGTTAGAAGTATCATTGAGATCTACCGAATCCCACCCAAACCGTTTCGTAACCAGATCTCATTGTTACTTATAAATATAAAAGAAACGACTTTGTATATAGCTGAAAACTTCCCCCTCGGAAATCTAGAGAACATCAACCAAAAGGTAAGTTATTCTACACTTGTTACGAAAGTTATACCACAAGATATTTTACGTAAACTTAATCTTGCACGTGCTCTATTATCACATAGAAGATTAGTTTAAGAAAACGTCAGTAATATTCAGGTTGTTGAATATATTGAAGTCTCTTGTCAGAAATGTCTTCTATGTATATGTGGCTAAAGTGATAAAATAAACGAAGATACGAACTAAAGATCTTAAACAAACAAAGAATTTTTGTCTAGTTTTAAAGTACGAGTGTATCCATCTAACATATCTCTTAAAGCAAAAACCTGATTTGTTGTGACTTTGTGTTCATCACTCTAGTATCTTAGTTACTCAGTCTGTTTACTTTATTATTATACGATGAAAAGGTCGGTTATTTGCGGTGAAGTATGAAAACGACACTTGTTGTAGTTCTTGTCGTCTGCCTGTTGTTGGCTTGTTTCATTCTTCCTGAAGTTGAAAGTCAGAATGATAGAGGAGGATCAGATCGTAGAAGATATGGTGGAGAAAATGATGGAGGAATTATTGGAGGATATGATGGAGAATATCGTGACTATGGAAGTTATCAGGGCTAAAGTAAAATTATAAACGTCAACAGTTTAAGGTAAGGCTGTAGAAACATTAATTGATATAAACTACTGTTACGTCTCCGTGTGTTAATTAATTTTCCG